GTGTGTACCCGTACCCGTGACGAGTACGGTGTTGGCGGGTACGGGTACGGTGTCAGCTTTCCGACCCGCGGTGTTACCCGTGCGGAACCCTAGGTGCACGCTCTCGTTCCAAGTGTGTTATAATTAATTGTACGTAGCTTCGGTGAGGGCTCAAGGCCTCAATACAAATGATGCTAATTTACACATTACAGTCAACAACACACTTCGCATTGCATTTTCCTATCTCTCGAAAACATCTACTCCGGCATGTAGATGTACGATGACGAATAGTAGGGCTGCTGGTAATAAAGGTTTACTTTCTACTGGACAGACATCGCATGAGACTGCATTCTCACCTACTATTTTTAGCAGCTTTCCACGTTATGGCGGGGCCCCAGAGCTAGTGCTCTCATGTGAATGGCCGGCTCTATCGAGGAAACTGATGATATGGACGAAGAAATCCATGACCATGAGAGGACAAAGGTGGTGAAAAAGGGTAAGGCATTCGGGTGAAATGATTTCTACGTCGTCCACTGTCCTGACCCCCAGTGAAGTCAGCGGACGGAGAAACTTCTTGATCCACCCGCGCCGTGGCTCCCTCTTTTCGAGTTCGGCCAGAAAATCGTTGATGGAAGGATAAGAGATGTGGAGGTCAGTCTCGAGCTCCAAGTTGGTAAGTATAGATGACATAGAGTTTGTGTTTTGGGAGTTATACGTGGCCTGAGGGGTATCGTTACTTGTCTCAATTCAATTCAATTCAATTCAATGACATTCTGACACTTGTTGTAAAGGATTTCAAATCTTATTTGCCTGCTGGCGCATGATAACACCGGGCGTAACTTTGGTTTAGAGTTCCTACTCCATTTTACTCAGGTGATCATCCCTTGGTTTAGTGTCTCCGCTTCTGATTTAGTTTAGAGTTTTCGTCTTTCCGTTTCATTCAAGAATCGGTTTTTTCTTGCTCTGCCTTTACTCGGGTTGACCGCAAGGTTTTATTTAATCACCGTTAGTCCACACAGTTAACTTGATCAGGCCCATCTTGAATCTAATCACGTTGATTGACAGGATCATTTTATTCCCTCGGTTTAATGTCTGCGCTTCTGATTTGGTTTGGAGTCCCTGCCTTTCCATTTTGATCAAGAAATTGGGTTTCCTTGCTCCGTCCTTACTCAAGTTGACCGCAAGGGTTTATGTAATCTCTGTCAGTTCATACACGTCAACTTGATTAGGCTCATCTCACTGATTGACAGAATGATCCCAGAGCCAACTTTACTGAATTGTTGATCGATCATATCACCTGTTCAATCAATACGTATGTGATGTATTGTCCATACAGCTTTGAAGAATGTACGGAGCCGATATTTTAAAGGTGCCGGATCTTCAGAAACGCATGTAGCACGTGATGTTATGTGGGGACTATCGGTACCTGTTTCAATTTCAAGGCCCGTGCTTCATTTCCGCTATGTTTCCTCCGCTAAATTGACTGACCTGCCCACTTCCAAGTTCCCACTTGATATTCTCATCCATGAGCAATGGCGACCCCATCTCCATCTCCATCTGAATCGGACAACAATGAAATTCACCCTCTGGTCGCTCTTAAAAGACGAATCGCTGCACTCGAGGAAGAAAACACAAACCTCCGAGTTCATGGGCTCTCTGAGAAGAAGAAAAGGTATGTCTAGTGTTTAAAAATTCGGTACAATAAGTTAATAAACAATCAAAGAAATGACTCAAATATACACTATGGGCGATCAATTCGAAGGCTCGTATGCCTGACCGAGCGCGTTGAAGATCTGGTAGCGGAATTTAATAGGCGCATTGGACTGGGCGCTATCAATGAATCCAACGCGGACCTGATGGATTCAGACGACCAAGAGTACGTGCATTTTCACAATTTTTACTGGTTAACCCTCAGGTCATGTTCTAGTGAAAACAGGCGGTATCGCTCCTTCAAGAAACTTATGACATGGTGCCCTTCGGCTCGTAAATTGTTACAGTCATCTGCCGAGCACGAAACTCTTGCTTTTGCATACAGCAAGGTGAGATTCACCGAAACAGTGCAAATCATCGCTGTATCTCGCATCCAGCTGAATGAAAGCTCTGATGGGGCCAGAGGAGACGATTGTGCTGGTCTCAAGCGCTCTGTCGCTGAATGGCTGATGGAATGTACTCCCGCGCCGAATCCAGTTATTCACAAACAAGACAAAACTGGTCGGGGTTTTTACAATGACGTGACGGGCAGACTCCTGTGCCCAGTTGATTATGATTGGAGCGATCCCACGTAAGGACTCTTTTATAAGCTGCGCCATGACTAACTTATATCTTCGAAGTGTTCGAGCCTCCATTCGAGACTACCATCCTGATTTTCGCATCACCGCTTGTTCCTGGCCTTCGTTCTTGTACGAGGATGGAGACTATGACCCCCAGAATCCGACAAAGGGTCTACTTAAAGGCAAGCTACTCGTAAAGGTAGGATTGATCTGTGTGGCAGAAGCATACTAAATGCAGTCTCCAGGCGTTTAAACGCGTATTTACCTCTCCGAGTTCCACAGATGAGGAACAACCAGTCGACTCGGTGACTCGTTCTGCACACAACAGGAACAGTGGCGAGCGCCGCACACGGCGTGACGTTGCAACACTACTTGGCATGCGATCCGTCCAACCTCGAGCCATAGCTTATGTGTCTGTTCAGGTACAGACTATTAAACTCGATATTTGCATACTTTACTGATCAGAGGGCCTAGCTGAGATTTGCATTGTCAAGCTCGGGATCTTGGCGCATCATTGATGACGAATTCAACAATCAGGAATTTTATGACAACATAGTCGACTATCTGGAGCTTCCTTCAACACCAGAAGCAGTGAAAGAAATCGATGATCTCTTACTTTGGTGGAATCAGTAAGTACCTTTGACGTCTTTACACTGCCTTCGATTGAGTCATCGGGGTTTCATTTTTTAGAAAAGTTTTTGGTCGAAGATTTGTTTCCGATTATCGCCCGCAGCAGGCAAATAAGATGTCAGTCGCCATGTCTTTGGCCAAAAGGCGTTACCACTAGCTTAGTTGGGTTAGGATGTACTAGTACATAATTGGGCATGTAACTTTATGTTGTGCAATTTTCGGTATAATGAATCAATGATCGAATTTTCTGGCCCCTAACGTCATGTATTGCTGAGTGAGATCCGAGCAGTACGATTGACAATGGCATTAAGACCCAAATTTTCTGTGCAAATGTCGAAGGATAGATAATTTGTTGAAATGTTCTGTGCCACCATATGGTTGATGCGAGTGGTCCACCTTCATCATGCATTTAGTATCTGACAGCCAACATGAATATGATACTTATCCAACTTCAGGTAGCGAGTTGCATATGGTGTTGCAGTATTGAACATTTGATGTGCTTGCGTCAAGGACAGCGTTACGAGTGATCAGAGACACGTCCACATAACTTATACATGTGAGCTACCCACACCATACCGACAATTCTGTCTCAAAGCACCTCACTCTGCAATGAAAGTCACATTAATATCGTATAACTTCAGAATGATATTCCGTGTCTGCTCATGCCAATACTGCAAGCATCTGCCTACAATGTAGGCTAGTGAAAACCGTATACAGCTTATATCTTCCTCGTTGCAAATCTAATCACTAGTCAAATGAGCCTCTTCAACATACCAATCGCTGCTTCTTGATGTTTGACTTCTTGTCACTCATTATACAGGTATTGTACTGCGGTGCATTCCTTACGATTCATCTGCTTACACACTATACTTAAGGGTCCTGGCACATGCATGTAATCATTGTGTAGATTGGCCGCAATGGCTACATGTTTAAAGTCATATATGATGTCCGATAATAGCTAGGTAATCACCTTCCGCATATTTCTGTGACTGTTGCGTAACATCTGACCCCGTGTTGTGTAGTTATAAGGTAGTATATTGTGCAAAAAGGATTAGAATTTCTTCGCTTACATGTCATACCTGGTGATCCGACAAATACATATCATTATTATTTAAATTGGCCAGGGAGGCTAGGTGTTTAAAGGCTTATAAGGCATTATCAAACCACTTGCCATATTTTATCTGATTGGACATATTATGACCATTATAAGGGGGATATAATGGTTTATAGCGCGTCTTGATTTTCAGTGATGTGTCTGCCATGGCGGAAGCTTTGATGAGTCAAGCTCAGTCGGATTTTGCACGTGATTGGGTTAGACACCTTAGCCGGGTGAGTTGTTCCCGCAGTGGCATGCTGGCGCGCTCTACTCAAATGGTTTACACCCCTACGCAAGCACTGACTTGCATCCAGCAAATTTATAAAGGAAACGGAACTTATAGGGCTATACAAGTCAACATTCCGATGCGATGGCTCTGATTCAGAATCCAGATCCAATAAGGGGAAGAAGGCTGTACGTTCGCATGGCCCATCTCGAAGTGCCTCCGCCAGGTTTCTTGATTCGAAAGGCTTTGAAGTGTCTGTTCGAATCGACATATTTTGCCAAACCTTCGACGTAAATGATTGTTCGGTGAAAAACACTCACCTTTAGCTGACTGTTTCCTACCCGTCACGCACCCTGGCATCCAGAAACAATTGTCCAAAGGGCTCGACGAGAGAGGCGCAGCAATTGCCAATTATTTGACCCGGACACAGCTCCGTTAATTCAATGTTCCACCAAACAATTTTCAGTGTCCGTCACTAACAAGAGGGCTTCTCGGTCATCCTGGCCGGCATTTGTTCCCTAGTGCAAGTGCAAGATGCAGTGCTGGATATAGAACGAAGTCGGGATCTTACCTGACAGTGACAGCACCCTATCATTACACTCTGATAAGTTGTCTTGGCTGGGTACCGTATGCTTTGTGAAGAAATCATTGTTCATTGTTAGAAAAAGAATCAATAGGAAAAGATTGTGACTTACGGATACATGATAAACCTTATGTTTTAGAGTCTATGAGCGAGCCTTAGCTGCACGACCACGTCACGACTCACGCGTACGTGGACCTCATCTGATCAAAAAGAGAGTGCTCGCTGCAAGGCTCGAACTTGCGACCTCAGGATTACCGAGTGTACACTCGTCATACGATATATATGAGACCTGCGCTCTAACCAACTGAGCCAAGCAAGCCCATCATAATTAAAATTAGAATTGTATTATATAATCAAGCGTCTTGTTGTGCTGTGCTTTGACGCTAGTAAAGCTGGACAAGACTTTACAACTTAGTCTTGATCGTGATTGCACATAACCGCCGTCAAGAACACGTTGCTTTGACGAGTCTATCCTCGTGACCATTCATTGAGCTCAGCCTCGAGCTGGCTCCGTGCCGCAAGTTCTCAAAATATCTCCCTTCCATCCTTAGCATTTGCTCGGATGACCAGTCGGAAGAGACAGGCCTCAGATTCTCTACTCCCAGTGCGTTCTGCTAAATACCAACGCACAGAAGAGAACCAGGGCATTTGGCATCGTTGGCGTCAACTCGGAACTGAAGCATTCACACTTGGCTACGAAACGGTCCGCCTCGGATACCTGTCCCTCATGAACTGTGAGATTAGTTATATTGCCAGACACGATCGTTCGCTAACAACGTGTTTAAAGCCTCTCAAAAACTAGGTGGATCTCAGGCCGTGTCCCAACAGCCAGAAAACCCTAATCAAACTGGCTCTTTACCCTCGCAAGCTACCTCCTTAGCTCTGCCACCTTGTCTCCCTATACCACAAGAGACCCATAAGCCCAAAGACTCACAACCAGTGGCAGGCCGCTCGCGACTTTCATCTTCTTTACAGTCGCGTTCAGAATCGTCGAATGCACTCAATGGAAACGGAAACTCACCTCCCTCAACCCTCACCGGACACACCTCAGTCACCCCGGTTCCCTCGACATCGAAGGGACACGTTCAGCACAGCCAGTCGTATGACTTCATAGGAAGTTCCGCGCTCGGACGAGGAGTGGTGGGCGGTATTCGCCCTCGGCGGAGTCGAGATCATATATACGCTCGTGTTGTAAGTGTATAATCAATGCTAACCAGTTCCTATATCTTACTATCAACCGATGTCGTAGCACAAAGCCAAAGTACAAGAAGATAGGAAAAAGGACCGCGAAGAGCTGGTGCAAGAACTATTCCATTACAAACGTTCTACTGGTCAGCACGCTAGTACTTTCTTGGTGCTCTATATCTCACTCTGATTAGGATATACCTCAGATTTTGACTCTTTTAAATGTGCGTCCATGCTGTCTTGTCCATGTCATCATCTAATTTACATGAATCTCAGCTTTGATTAATTACCAAGCTCGACTTGAAATTCTTGAACGACATGCACTTTCGCGTGCGTGATTCTCATTACTTCAGTTTAGCACACTTACGACGTTGTATGTAGCTTCACCATCACTGACAGATCTGCGTGTAAAGCAGTCCTCACCTGGGCACTCCCGTAGGCACTCGTTCTCAGATGTGAGCGTGTACATACTTCGTTTATAACTGTGCTAAATTGTGCTAGGATGTTGATCCCGATTTCCTAGAACGTGCACTTAGAAAGGCCAAGAAGTCATTTGAACTGTATGAGCGTATCATTTACACATATTTTCCTCGCTGAATCATTTTTCTACAGCCCACCGCCTAAGCCATTTTCTCCTTCGCATGATCGTCTCCGTTTATCGGCGCGCCACAGAGACGAGGCTATTGAGAAGCGTCTGCGGCCAAAGCTACCCAAGGTTCTACCTCCTGACGCTGACACACAAGTTAACGCACTCCTGTGCAAGAAAGGAATCATTTCCAAGGTTGCTCGAGAATCTGTCAACGATCGAGATCTATCTCGGTTACTACCTAGTCAATGGTTGAACGACGAAATTATGAACTTCTATGGTGCGATGATTTTGACGCGCTCGGAGTCCAACCGCGACCCCACCGCAAAGAGAAAGATGCTGGATGTCCACTATTTTAGCACCTTCTTTTGGCCAAAGCTGAAAAATGAGGGCTATGAGCAGGGGCGGCTAGCGAAATGGACAAAGAAGGTCCGTTACTGCGCAATGAAGCTGAAGATGATGTCTCAATCCGCATGCAGATTGATATCTTTTCGAAAGACATCATCCTTATTCCTATCAACCATAATAATTCTCACTGGACCGGGGCTGCCATAAACTTCCGCCGAAAACGGATAGAGTCGTATGACAGTATGAATCTTGACCGACATCAAGTCTTCAAGGTAGGTTAGCTTACCTTGATGTGCTCAGGAAAGTCCTTACTGTTGTCCGTCAAGGCCTTGCGCAGTTATCTGGACTCGGAACATAGAAACAAACGAAAGAAACCTTTTGACTTCACTGGGTGGCAGAATCACAATCCTGATGACACGCCACAACAGGAAAATGGTTATGACTGTGGTGTGTTCACGTGCCAGTTCTTGGAATCCTTGTCCAGAGGGGAAGAAGGATTCTATTTCTCGCAGCGGGACATGACCTACTTGCGACGGCGAATGATTTGGGAAATTGGCCATGCCAAGTTCCTGGACGGCCCATGACAATGGGCTTCTACGCATTGCTCTTTTTACATGGTTTATGATACTCGGTATTAGCATTTACTGTGGATACGGAAATGGCATGACTTGAATGACGAGAGAGGCGTGCACTGAGGAAGCAATTGATCCAAAGATATCGATAAATGTCCGTAGTGGGTGGTTGTCATCGCCGAAACCACCATACAACAATGAAAAACCAGAACACAAGTACGAGAAATAGGATGTACCATAGCCATCGACAACCCTGCCGCTGTGCCATGTTGTTCATCCGACGGAACGTGCCAGCTAAGATGCCCGAGGTCTCCGCGAATGCGTCATTCTGCGGAGCATATGATAAGTAGGGAGCCGCTAATAAGTAGAGCGACAGCATGCACGTACCATCTGACTGAGTTGCACGGTTGACTCTCGGACCTCGTTTCCAATCCCAACAGTGATCTTTGTATGAAAACGATAAGTTCGATGGGCGGGCGGGACGGGAAGCACCACTTACATCCTTGAGTAGCTTCACCTTGGCTGCCAGGCCTTCCAGCGCCTCGTCATTTTGACCTTCCAGGTCATCCACGTAGCGGTGGCCAGAAGGCTCTGGGTTCGGAATGCTATATGGTGACGAGCGTCCCGAAGCTGGAGGTGTCACACCCAGGAGAGCTGAACGGTCTCGTAGCGCTGCATTTGTTGCTCTGTATCTGAAGCATCAAATAATGAAATGTGCAAAGTAACTTCCGGGAGTGCCTCACCTTTGGGACATATAGTGGTGTGTATAAAACCAGCTGCAGCTCCACACTTCCCGACCAACGGGTGAATTCGAAAGAGAATGACAATATTATTAAAGGCTTCTTGACTCAACACTGCCGAGGCTGAAGGCGGCGATGTGTATGCGGATCCAATTGACAAAAGTGACTACCTTCCACGTAATACCCAAATTCCTTCAGCTTGTGGTATCTATCTATTATAATATCATCGATACATAAAAATATCCACAAAACACAGGCAACTCCGAGGGAGGGTAAAAAAAAACGAATACCAGAAGAAACACAAAGCCTCCAGATCCAGATTGGAGAGCGATGCATGTTACTGGCATGCGTGCAAATATATCCGTAAATATTTATACCTATAAATCAAGAAACTAAAGAACGCGAAACATGGGCAATGCGAAGATGGATATGTCAATGCAAATGTGATCTTGGATGAGGCAAGATGAGGTTGGTGTGTCAGATCGAAAGAGTGGCAAATAGCGCTATAGAATACAAGCAAGTCCGTGACTGTGACGTACGCGCTCTTTCATTCGATACTCATCCGGTTTGGGTTCGTGCTCATTGGTCCACGGTTCAAGTGTTGAGAGCCATGTCCCTGAGTGTGGGTTTTACTTCTTGTAACTGTCACACACAACATCAGTCAAAGAAACCATGAAGAAAGAAAAAACTAACTCGATGCCTTTAGTCCTCGATCGAAATTGCGCATCACCAAGACGGAGAAGATGATCGTGATGACGAGAAGGACGATTGCGATGGCAGCTACCATTTTCGTGAGCTGCTATATATTATACATATCAAAGGACTTACAAAACGTGGAAAGAGATTTCCAGTACAATGCATATTGCGTATCCTTGTACTGAAGAACCCGGAAAAGCTGAAATATCATGAGCAAACGAGCTCTGCCCAGCAAGATTGCCAAAGGCTCACTTTGTATGTGAAATAGACCAGGGCGCCTATACTTCCAAACATAAATGTTCCCATCATCCACCTATTCTCGTGACGCGCAGCAAGGTGGCCTTCGATAAGGAGGAGAATTGATAATGGGAGAGCAGCCCAGGTGACATAGTACTCCCAATCGTTCTTCTGGAGAACCAACCATATGAACTGCACGGAAAAGCCGACCCAAAAGAACACGTCGAACTTGACAAGACATTCGAAGATCTGATATGTGGCATACATTTTCTTAATGCGGCGGTCGGCACCCAGAAATTTGTACACCTTCCAGCCGAACTCGTTATAAATTTTCCAGCCGAGACCGATGTATGCTATCTCCGCAGTGGATATGACGGCAGGTATGATGTCAGTGAGAACATTCACTGGTACATGCAGAATCCCGGTAGAAGAGGAGGTCGAAGAGTCCTTGATTTCGCCGATTTGAATAACAGCGTATAACAGGAAAAGAAGATTGAATATGCTGTAAAACGAGTATCAGAAATATGTTATTGTAGGTAGGAAGCGAGGTATGTACTCACATGAGAGACATAAATTGCAGGGTATTGCGTGCATACACCGCATCGACCGCCATGACAAGTTGAAAGATGCTGAATTGTAAAATAGTGTCAAATTGAGACGTCGAAAGATGTTCAAACACGTACTGAGCGAGTGCGAATACGCTGAGATACACTGCCAGTTTATCCGAGCCATCCTGCAATCGAACAAGCAAGTCGCCCTCGATGGCCAGATCCACTGCGGTCTCGATCACCACAGTCAGGACAAACAGTCGACATGCCCAGGAATCGGGAAGAATCTAGATTAATTAATGTCAGTAAAAACAACCGGTATCTGTGAAATAGTAGCGCTGACTGTTGCCCAACAACTCCTGGTGTCAATTTGCTTCTCCTGCTTCAGCGTTGGGGGATAGTCATGA